AAAGCTCTTTTGGGTATACGGCATTTGACCTCGTTTGTGTCTTAATCTCGCTCTTGGGATCACAATGAAACCTTCCCCAACATTGGATTGGGACACTCCACCATGTTTGTGGCCCTTCACTCAATGTCTTCTTCCCAGGTGTTACAATATTCTCTGCCACTGCCTTGGAGTCATTCTCATGATATTTAAAGCTTTTCCCAGAAGCTCCTTTGACTCTTCTGCCACTCTAGTTGTCCTGTGAAGCATCCCTTGGCTCTGCTGGGATACGTCGTTCCTCAGGCTCTCAGCTCTGTTGTTTTGGACTATTTCTTCCATATATCTAGTCTGAATCTACCCTTTTTCAGTTTAAAATCATTACCCCTTGTCCTATCACTACACTCCCTGTTAAAAAGTCTGTCTCCATCTTTCTTATAAGCCCCCTTTAAGTATCAAAAGGCGACAATAAGGTCTCCTCAGAGTCTTCTCCAGGCTATTCATTTCTTCTATACAGCTAGTCACTTCTCTACATTGTTTAGGCCTTTCCAATAACAGGATAAATCTGTCAACATGAAGTCCGCAGGACTGTACATAGAGGACAGATAGTACAGAGTTTTCTTAGCCCCCATTGCGGCACATCCTTTTTCCAAGTTTGTGTGGATGAGCACATCCATCACTTTGCAAAAGAAGTTCCTGAACTGCTCTCAGAAGCTCTTTCCCTCTGCAGCAAAATGCACCCATCTGTCTCTGCTGTGCGCCCCAGGGTCTGGGCACAGGCTTGTTATCCCAGAGCAGTTAACTGCGGTAAACTGCCATGGTTTTATTGACATAGTATAAAAGCAAATGCTTTTGCTCTAAAAGCAAAACCCACTATAATCTTTTAAGCATGTAATTTTTTTCTTTACAGGCAGGCATCTGCAGTGGAGGATATGGGGTGGTTTTCTGTTTCATTTCACGCAAGACACCAGATTTTGCTTGTGAATCATGCATTCCTCTTCCAGGGATTTATTGTATTCTGTGCACTCCCTGGATGTGTCTTTGGAAAGCTAGACTGGTGAATGCTATGAACCCTGAGATTATAAAGCAAAATTATTTCTAGTTAACCAAAAGAGTCAGGAAACTTCTTTGCTCTCAAGCCCAGCAGGAGGCCCAACAACTTCTTCTTTCAGCTTAAGCTGGCTCTGACTCCAGGCAAATGAATTCTGTGAACAAATAGCAAGTCAGTAAAGCATTAAGTCAGAAGCATCAATAACCACTGAGGACAACAGGATAGGCAGGCCAGCATTTCCTTGAATCCGACCGGCAGAGCCCTAAGATCCTCATTATTGGTGTGGCAGAGTCGTTCATAAATTTTTCTGTTTGTACAGTGTTGCAAAACAGCTAAGAAATGCTCTAAAACTGTTCAGAGAATAGCAAAAGCTGAAAATTTGTTGCTTGTAAATGATGTACACAGAATGTTTTCCCATTAGTTACAGTCTGTTTACAGATGGAGTGGAATATCCCTCATTAAAAGCCAGAAAATATTGGAAGGTGTCTGAATAATAATTGTCCTGTTTAAAACTCCCAGTGTGCTCTGTGGCTTGTATTCTAGCAGAACGATTTTAATGAGAAAATCCATTGTTTCTTTAAAGCAAAACATTCCTTGATCAATATTCCACAATGTTTCTGGCTGAATAAAAAAAGTGTTTTCTGCTAGGAGAAGAATTCAGAGAGCTTTCCTGCAGCACCCAAAACCATCCTCACTTGCTTACGCTGGCAGGTAGGGCAGTGCCCTACCTATGGCATGTTCTCAGCTTTAGATTAGATAGTTTAGACACAGCCTAAGTAGCTTTGGGACAAATTGTTTCACTTGCCTGTGCTTCAGTGTCTGCATCCGTAAGCTGGGGACAGCAATGATGAGCTCTTCTAGAGCTTCTTGAACTCTCTGACTGAAAGGTTAAAGCTGGGTTTTCACTATTCCTCTCATTCCATTCTATGACTGTGATGTAGAGGGAAGAATGTTCCCCTACGCAGCGCTAGGTCAAGTGTGTTTAAGGCTGTCTTCAGTTTTCAGTGAGTCAGTGGCTTTAGGAGCCTGGGCTCATGCTCTCAGACTCAGCTTTTCATTGGTGCTCCTTTTGATGCAAGCCTGAAAGGGCAGTGACAAGCTTTCTTAAAGCTAGATGGAATACCCTCAGTACGGCATCTCTCTCTTACAGAGAGAGCCTGTGAGCACTCTCCCTGATGTACTTTTAATTGGCAGATAACCTGGTGGCTGGTAACCAGGGACAAGCGACAGGAACTTCAAGTCTGCTTTGCTTGCCTCTGGGTCCAACGCTGGCTTTGGGAGCCAGCTCTGGAGATACAAAGGATATGCAAAATAGCTGTCAGCTATACTAACGGCATCCCCAGCGCAGAGATAAATTCTGTCCTGTGTTTTGGTGCCAAGGAGTCATAGGAAGCACCGGCAGAAAAGGGCTCCCAAGATCAGGGCCTGACTCACTGTCAATATCAAAACATAAACTACCCAGCACATCTGACTCTGCAGGGAACAGAGCATCCTCTCCAGCATGCCGAGCATCAGAAAATCCCAGCAGAGTCAGAAAGACGCACAATGTTGCTGGTTGGGCCTAATGCATGATAACGGGAAATGAAGAGAAAAGACATGACTAAGTATAGCTTATTTACAGAGCAAAGTAGAGAAGATGAACATTTCTATGCAACAGATACATATTTACATGCATATATAGAATTTGTAGGTATACAGTTGATATATATAAATCTGTGTGTGTGTATGTGTAAATGTTAGTAACATCAATACTAAAAAGCGTTACTGCACTAAAATATCCCAGCAGAAGCACTTCTCTAGCTGGCTGTGAGATAGAAATGGCTGATCTCCTGCTGGGTTTAGACAGCCTAAACATAGCTTCAAAAGATGCTTCTGAAACACTTGTCTCTCCTGTTTGGTTGTCAAACGTACTCTGAATAAGAGTACCCCCAAGAAAGGGGTTTCTGTGCTCTCAACATGCCGTCCTTTTCCCGGTGAAGTAAATGGGAAAGCAGCCTTGGAGAATGTGAGTCATCCGATCTGTCAAGCTGAAACCATTAGGCAGAGAAGGCAGATGGAGATGCTAATGAGATTCAGACTAAAGAGACATTTAAAAATGAGGCTGTCTCATCTTTCTCATCTTTGGTCATTCAGTTTAGTTAGGTAAGTTCCTCTGGGTGGGTAGGACACTACCATTTTCCTTTGAGTTCAGCAAGGCAGTGTTTGCTATGTGCCTGCATCAGTTATCTACCCCACATCAGGCAAGACTCACTTGCTCTCTGCTTGCTTGGTCGGCGAAATACTGTGTCTGGTCCACCATCCTGCCCTTAGCAAGTAGTTAGCGTGTTAACACTCAGGGCTGGGCGCCTGACATTCGCAGCCTCCGGCTTGTGAAAGAGGATAGTGCGATGCTCCTGGAACACAACAGGTGAAGATGAGTAAAGTGGGTGTTCCCTGAGTTTAGCTTGTCCCAGGGATGAGGAAAGCTATATGCTTTCCTTTCTTTCTTTAAGTTGGTCCAGTCAAGTCTGATATTGATTTCTACAAGGGCACCAACAGATCCTGAATCAATAGAAACCAGCAGTACCATGGCGAAAGTGTGCAGTGTTCCCACACAGGCTTGAGTCCTGCTCTTGAATGAATAGACGTGCACTTTAGCAGGCAACCCTTCTTGGGAAACACCACCCTCGTTAGATCAGTACGTATACCTGCCTGAGAACCCAGCCCTGCATTTCTGCATAATGAAAATCTCTCTAGTTATTGAATGTTGCTATTTTCAATGTACTACACAAAGTTTGGATCCTTAGTTTTCAGACATAGTCTGCTTTGCCTGACACTGGTATATATGTATATTGGTATATCACTTTAGCTACAGACCCGTACAGTTGACACATTGCTCAATGTGTGGTACCAAGTGGAGAGCCAACAGACAACCCCCAAAATTTCCCATGCATTTGTAACATTGTCAGCTGAGTTGCTGCAACCAGGAAGAAATTCACCATGCTGCCTTCTGGCAATTGGAAGTACAGTGGCATAAGGGAGTTACAACTCTTTAAATCAGGCCTCAGGGTCCTATTCTTTCACTCTGCTTTTATGAACAGGTTTCTGATTTTCTTAAGGTAATTTTCCACATTTTTCTAATTTTTTATCGGTGTTTAACAAGTACTCAACTATAATGGTTTAATTTGCCGGAAAAATTAATTCTAACTACAGTATTCATCTGAGTGAATAGGATGTAACGGGGCATTTGGCTCACCTCCAAAGTCTCTATGTGCCATTGCTTTCAGGTGACTTGAATGGATGGCACTTACCCATCAGGCCAGGCAGAGACCTTGCTTGCAGTCCCCGGGTGATGCTCCACTCCTAGGCCGCCTTACTGCAGAAAGCTTCCTCCTGTACCTGGGGTGGAATGAGGCCCTGGCTACGCAGGTGCAGATTTGTTATTTAAAAAGTCACACCAGTTCATCAGTCACGCAGGCAGTGATGCTGAACACCCCGCAGCTTGTGTTTGAGCGGGTTAGAAGAGGGGTGACCAACCCACGGCCCTGGAGCCACAGGCAGCATATAAACTGCTCGAATCCCTGCTCGTTCCACGGCTGCTTCACGCAGACAGCCCTGCTGCGGGCTGGGGGGGAACACTGACGTCCCCGGGGCTGGAAGGAGAGAAGCCAGCAGGAGTTGCTGCAGCCATCATCTCCCAGCTGCCCGGGACCGAGCTCCATGTCCCCCCTCAGCTCCATGCCGCTCCGTGCCGAGACCTCGGGGTGGTACAGCTGGGTCCTTCAGCTGCCCCCAGTGCCCCCTCCCCTGCTGTGCTATGTGTCCTGTGCCTTGCTGCCTTTTTGGTATTTGGCTGTTCAGGCCAAAAAGGCTGGGCATAACTGAAGTAAGGTAGGGGGGAATGGTGGCTTTACGTGTCCCGCCTACCGCTTGCGATAAAACCCCACTTGTACGTAACTAAGCTAGGAAGTAGTACACATTAAACTATTCAGAATAATAGGTATTTATTTTCAGTGCTATTTTCATTAAATATTGGTATAATATATCCATGTCTGAGGTAATAAATTAAAAATAAATTCAAGATTTCAGTCCCATATTTGTGCTGCATATTTTTTCTACCATTATACATAATTTTGAAGCAAACACACATAGTCCATAATTCTGAATGCAGCTAGGAATATTATTTTAACACAGTCACTTTTTGTTTCACTATAATTTTGCTGATAATGGTTATTGCATGATACACTTTTAATAGCTGTTTTAGTTATACTAGAGTTTTCTATTAAATCACACATACCGTAGTTATAGGAAGATGGGCATGAAGATGTGCTTTGAGCCCAGGAAGGCAAATATTGAATCAGAGTGATAGCACATACTGCAGGATTATTGTCTGCCTGCACTAGAGCCCAGATCCAGCAAAGCCATTTCAGTGTGTGCTTAGCTTTAGACACATGAGTCGTTTCAGTGCCATCCATGGCCTTAAGTGTTTGCTGAATTAAGGACTAGCCAAGTCTGCAGACCTAAAATCAGAGACTTCTTTAACTGTGTGTTATTTGAAAACAGTTTTGCTGGTTTCATATTCTGTAAGATATTTTGTAACAACCTTCATAAGATTTTTCGTATCAGTGAAGCACCCATGAAAGTTTCTAACCTGGTTCATAAATATACTATGAAAAAATAAGCAGCTACAATGACTCTCTTCTACACATTTTGTTAAAAGCAACACCTGGTTTGAAAAGTTATTAAAGTAATTTTTCCCATGGTAAAATATAGTTAAAAAAATAAACTCTTCATTTCATCATCTTCCATCAAACATATAAGCTTGTTAAAGGGCGGGGCATACCTCAGGTATTTTCATTTATAAATGCAAGAGATTGAGTGTATCAATCTTTTTGCACTTAAATGCTGGTGGTAGTGAGGCCCTTTCAGCTAAGTCTCCATCAAGCCCAACATTAGCGAGCTAAAGAAACAAACAAACAAAAATTTTGCTTGCATATAACTTTTTCATAATCCTGAATTGAAAAAAAATCCTCTCTGCTTAGAAAAGAACTCTTATTTAACTGCTGCCATTAAAAGAGTTTACCTCACCTCCATGTTGTTTTAACTTTAATCAGTGATTCCGAATGCAAAGGATTTAAACACTCACTAAAATTACTGTGGCATGCCATCAGACTCTTAATGTTCATAAATTGTGCTAATCCCTGTTTAAATCAGGAAACTATAGTTTCGAGCTAGAGCTAACGGTTGGCTGGGCGTTCGAGGTCTATTTCCACCACATTTTCTTTATTCTATTCTGCAAATGACTGACAGTGCTCATGATGTGATCCTGAAAACCGTTTGGCGTTATTACCAAAAGCTATAGTCTGTGTGAAAACTCCCCATGCTCATGCAGTGAATTGCCTCGTTGGGGGGACCGCGGCCCGCGCTGCCGTGGTCTTGGGCCTGGCCATGAGGGCACGGCTCTGCAGCCCGGGGTCTTCAGTACTCCACCGAGCTCACGATTGCCATGGGTTCATCGAACGTTGCCAACCTTATCTGCTTTGGGGTAGGGATGGAGAGAATTTCCCCGGTGTCAGTTGGTGAGTGAATACCATTGTCTACGATGTTTGAAACGTCCTCCTCGTGGTCCTCGTACAGTGTGTTGATGTGCAGCAAAGGGTGGGCTGGGTTGCAGTTCAGTGCGGGTGTTGGCTCTGGCTTGACTTGGTTCAAAGTCATGCTCGTTGCAGCAGCGGTTGTGGCTATATGGTTGTGGTTACATGTGACAAAAGCCCCAGCAGCAGGCACAGTTCTGCATGCCTCAGACGAGTATAGGATCTCTTTTGCAGGATGAGGGGTGTCTGAAAGAAAACAAACCAGCCAGTTAAAAGACAGGTAGTCTTTCACCCTTCCAGTCCATCAGGGAGGAGTGTCCTGAACCAATACAAGTCACTGGCAGTTTTGCCACTGATTTCAGTGGGAGCAGGACTGGACCCAAAAATGAATGTTCTTGGGACCCTCTGAGAAATCCAACAGGACTGTTTCGAAACAACAGGGTTGTAAGCTCGGGGAAATAGGACAAACAACAAATGGGTTTTGTAAATCTCGCTCTTTTTTATGCATGCTCATGCTTCCTTATGTGGATGGTATTTTCGTAAAATGAACAAAAAACAACAGAAAAGTATTTTTTATTCTCCTCTACAGTCTGGCAGGTGTTTTGTAAATGTTATGATTTAATGTTTTGACAAATGTTATGACTGTTGAAATCCACAGCATGGAATACAAAAGGCACTGATATTTTCCATGGGAAAAACTAGTGGTTACACATTGTAAGCCACTTGTCTTTAGAAAGAATTCAGCAATTTGACATTCACTGATGTCTCTTTCCACAAATCGTAAGTCTACCTTACCTGATGGACTGCAATGTAGGTCTAACTCAAAAGCAAAGCTGAAAGTTTTTAATGGGAATGGGGATTAACAGAGCCCCAAAACTACAGTAATTATTTTTTGCCCTTAAAATATTCAAGCACTAATTTAGATAAAGGTAATTGAGACCAGAAAACCCCAGTAGTTTTGAGGAGTTGAAATCAGAGCAGGTGACTGGATAAGGAATGCTGTAGAATAGCTCACATGCATATTGGGGAGTTGGAGGGCTCTAAGGAGCATAGGGATTTGGAAGTGACAGAAACTTTTATACCTCAAATCACTTCTTTGCTGGGCAGTGGGGTGACGGTAGCTGTCAGTCTGTCGAAGCCCAGAGGGAGGTCTTAGCTTGTAATGAGATGAGAGCCATTGCTTTAAGTACGTACAAATCTTTCTGTAACTTCAACTGCATACTGCTTCTTTCTTATATCAGTAGCTTACAAAAATAAACAAGAAGATATCTACCTGTCTATCAGTTTATCGACTGATCTATCACTTTTCTTAATGCTCACATGGCTTTCCTCATCACTCTAGCACCTAGTAATTATTGATATATTTGAAACACTCCTTTGAAGTAAGAAAGAGACAGGATTTCCAAGACACACACAGGAAACTGGGGCACAGAAAGAGCATCTCCTGTGAAGCCACATGGGAAGAGATGGCAGAATTCCTGAACCCCTGACCGGCACCCACACTTCAGACCATCCATCCTCTGGTCCGCATGAGACAAAGGATAATTTCAAACATCTCTTGTGTGAACAATATCAACGATCTAAGTTGTGATTTCCTGGGTGACAAACACATGTCAGCCCCTAAGAATTGGTAGTTAAAGAGATTTTTTTTTTTCTACAGGCAGCTTTAACTGCCATTAGCACAGTTTCTCACACAATCCTAAGTGGCTATCCCTGGTCAGAATACTGGTCATCTACCATGGCAGTTTCCATATGACTTGAAAATAACACAGGTTTGAAACGTGCTAGGTGCTGGTGGAGCAGGAAGGGTATCATGGAGGCCAAACTCTCCTCATTTCATTGGCAAGGCATGACCACATTTGTAACTGAATATATGCTTACATTTGAAAAATTACCTGCACCAACAGCCTGCAGGCTGTTTTGTACAGCTCCAGCTGTAATAATCCTTATCCTCCATATAGCTGTTAAAGAGAGAGAACCTCTGTTTCTGAGGCCTGCAAGCCCTAAGATTATTAGCTATCCCAAAATCTAGCAAGGTAGGTCAAACAGTTCAGATAAGCTTTAAGTTCCTGAAGATAGCTATGCAAATTATGGTCTCTGGAGGTGGTACGGGCATTATGGCATACTGTACCTTTGAGAGAGGAGGTAACGTGTACTACAACATTCTCTTCCTGGTTTAAAAATCCACCTTCTTGGCTTTTTGACGTAGGCATCGAGGGGATGGCTTGAATCTCTGGCTTGGGTTTTTTGCTACTAAGTATATACGGATGAACATCCAAGGAAAAGTGTCGTGTGTGTTTTTTTTCACTGCTTGTGCTTGGGATGGCGTTTGGCTCCGTTTTATGAGTGGACGATTGCTGTGAGGTTTTTGCAGCAGACTCTAACAAAGGAGCTATAAGGCTGTCTGTTGCTGTTTTTCTCCGCACAGGCTTCGGTTTTTCAGGTTTATGGTTTTCAACCTTCATAATGGCTAACTGTTCCTTGAATGGCTGAGGAAGGGGATTGGTAGTTGGGATCCATTTCATCTTCTTCCTTGGTCTCTTAATGATGAGCTGCTCATTAGCATCAATGTCTGCTGGATCAACGCTTGGGTCTATTGTTTGGATCCCTGAATCACGCATGGTTGGAGTGGCATCATGATTGGACTGGGCCAACGCTGCAAGCAGCTGGCGTACCACATTGTCATACATCAGATCGCTTTCATTTGTAATAAAATCCAGACGGTTCAATGATTTTATGTGGTCCCGATTTTCATTACAAAACATGGCCAAAATATTGATATCACAAAACTGGGACTTCTGCCACTGTTTCTTGGTCTTTATTCCAACTTTGTTCAGTTTATCAAATATGAAGTTAGACTTGCGAAATATGAAGAGGTGAATTAAGTTGATGAGGATTATCAAGTTCATGAAGCAGAGGAGAACGATATCTACACCAGCAATAATCCGCTGGAGCTGGACAGATGGCAGTTTACAGTTCACTCTGATGTGCAATTTGGAGCTGCTTGTTTTGTCTGGAGGCTCTCCTAGTGCACACGTAAATTCATTTTGCTTCTGTGTAGCATAGTAGGTGGACAAGTATGTAATTGGTATGATGCTTAAAAAGATGATGAACAAATGTCTTGCAAGATAAAGCTTAGCTAAAAAGTTACTTCGTCCTCTTCTTTCCAGGTATTTCTCAAACAAGTTCTGCTCAGGGCTTTTTTCCTTCTCTGCATTCTCAATGATTTCTCTCTTCTCTCTCTCGGTGATCCCCGGGCCTTTGGACTGAATCTGTTTCTCTATTTTGGGTGCCCGCCCTTCAGCTGCACGGTGGTAGCAGTTATCGATCTCCTGAAGCAAAAAATTAAGCTCTGAAGTCAGTCGGGTAGAGGCCAGAAATTCCCAGCCCAGAGCTGGAATGTACATTATCCCAGCAAAAGCCAGCAGTGCATAAGGTAGGAACTTATGCTCAAACAAGGAGGGCCAGTGGCTGGCATCAACTCCTGGCAAGGCATCTTTTAATTCTGTCCAACAATATCCTCTGGCATACAAGGCTTGATCGCGGGTGAAGTTGTGTGGTGTATAACAGTATATTGGCTCCTCTGTATAACAGAGAGAAAAGTCACTGCTGTGCATTTAACCTACAAAAGGAGCTCTGGAAAATAAACATTTCAAATTATAACAATTTTATTTTATTGTATCTTTACATGACCGTTAAGCCCTCCATGCCTATTAGACAGCTCAGCCTGCGCACATCTTCACAAGCCCTCAGGCAAAACTATTTACCTGGAAGTTTTAGAATGAACCTGAGCTGGAAAAGTCAGCAAGAAATACATGTTTTGGTTTAATTACCTCTCTGAGAACAATATCCTAAGCAACTGTGACCTAAACTCTGTAAAGCTGAAAGACCTGATATCCACTATACAGTAGCTGAGGATATGTGCAAATGCTGAAAGGCTCATTTAGGTGAAATTTAAGGTGCATCCCAGCTAAATATTCTTCTAAATAGAAAAAAGTTAGATGTAGTTGAAGGCAATATTTTTAATCCTTATTAATAAAGTCCACTCACTGGATATAGTAGAAAAAAATTAAAACTTAAAGACATACAAGCATTTAGTCCACTGTATCCCTCCCAGCTAACATTCTTGAATTAAAGTGTGACTGACCAGGACAGAATCTGGTGTGTTAACTGTATTTATCACCATGACAATTTAATTCTACATTTGAAACTGTAACATTGTTTTTTACACAATGTACAATCAAATGCTGGAACTCGCTGTCATATAGTATTATGGAAGAAACAAATACTGTGGATTAAGAAAGCAATCAGACAAAGTAATGGAAGAAAAAGTATAGCAAGGATTATTAAATACCCAGATAATGATGCAATTTTTCTCTCAGGACATGTTTAAGCCACAGGCTGCTGGAGGGTGGAAGGGTTTATCCAAAGAAGTATGCTTGTCTATTTTAACGCTCCTTCCTGAGCATTTGCTTTTTACCACCATCAGAGACAGGATGTTGGGCTAAAAGGACTTTTGTCTCGACCCAGTAGATAAGTTATGTTTTTATACAATTACATTTTTCTGGCAATATATGAAAGTAAGATAGAAAAACTTGTGAAAGCTAGAACAATATTAATTGCCCAAATAACACTGACCATTATCAAAACACCTTCTTCAAAGAGGAAGACCATATTTTCATGTTTTGGCAGGCAATACAAAGGGAATATATTTTACAGAGTTCTGGTATACCTTTAAAAAGCTTCCTAAAATGAGACCCATAAAAGAAGGCATGTTTGCTTGAATTGAGAATCGCTCAAGAACACCAAGCTCGCTCCAGTTCTGAACACAGTCTACAATTCAGATCAAGAACAGCTCACTGGAAGAGAGTGGTGGTACTGTTCTCTTAATAATACAAATCATGAAGAGAAATAATAAAATATTATGTCGTTTGAGAACAATAAATAAAATATTAAAAATTAATAGGCAGGCAAAAACCTCTAATCCTTTTGGCTTAACAGAGGACTCCTTACTTGACCAACTACTTCTCACATGTGAGCAAATCAAAAGCATTTACTAGTTCTTTAGTAAAATGTTGAGGTGTAAACCTCTTCTGTGACCTACAGAGATCTACATGCTGAGGACTGCACAAAAATTGTTGGTTTTTTTTTTTTTTTAAAAAAAGTGATTCAGTGAGGATTCTTTTCTAAAAATACAACCAATTTAAACAGAGTTGACAGAATAAATGATGTTACCCAAGATAGCATGTAAAGTGAGTAAGCCCTGCAAGTTCTTTAAAATCACTTTTGAATACTATTTTAAAATGATCTAACTTCAACCTCAGAGGAGAGCTTAAAGCAGTCTAATGTTACACAGCTTCCCATTTAGACTATTTTTGTGTATTTACAGCCATGTTTTACAAGAAAAATGCTCACTGACTCTTGGTTTCGGTAATTACATGCCCTCCCAACACCCCTGTGAAGGGATGCATACAAATAATTTCAACTTCTACTATCAAAGAGTTACTGTATGATTTCCCAGGAGGCAAAGTAGATTCCTATGTGAAAATGTTCCCATGGGAAAAAAAAAGGCAAAGAAGCGTGGTGCATTTCTCATAGGCAGAAATATTTTTAATTGGGTGTCCCTGAGCTCAGTAGAATCTGCCAATATGAAACCTAGTTTCCTGTGACATACATGGGTTCATTTCTCCTAGGTCTCAACACCACGAATACGTGGGAAGACAGCAACAAGTATTCATACAAATAATCTAGAAGGATTAGTTTTGGATTCATGTATCAGTTGTTACTACCAAATAAACTGTGAACAGTTCTCTTCACTGAGACCTGAAAGCTAAGGTGACTTCTGCCAAAATTGTATATATACGACAATCAAATATATATTTATTTTATAAATAAAAAAGGGAAACAAATCAAAATGTTGCAACATTTACATTTATGTTGAACGGATCACTTAGAGACTAATTCTGCACTTTCCATTGCCACTGCTTCAGTGAAAAAAGTCTGAAGAGCTTCACAACTCTGGTTTAGACTGAACAGCTTCATTAGAGGCTACTTCAAAAATGGAGCTGCCCAGCCCAGTAAAGAAAGCAAATGTCATTTTACAGGAATTTGTTTGCTTTTCCTCTGTTAAACACTTTTTTAGCTGCTCCCACTGCCTGGTAAGTTGTGAGAGATCTCTAATTTATTGGGATAGCTGAGCATGGTGTCCCATTCTTATTCAATGTTTTGTTATTTGTTGATGCTAGTCTAGTATTTTCTTTGCTTATTTGTTAAATTGACATGATTTTCATTACATGCCATGTAAATCCCAAGACCCTTCAGATGAAACCCAATCCTCAGTGAAGTCAGTGGGACTTCTGATAACTGATTGAAGTGGGGGCAGTGGAGTTACAACGCAATTTTATTCAAATGGCATTTTCTAATATGTTTGAGCCATACTCGCTGTCAGTGAATGCCACTAATTTTGGTAAAGTTATTCCACGGGGGAATTTAGCTTAACCTTCTCAGCATAGGACTTGACTCACAAAGCATATCATCAGGCTTAGGAAACTCATTCATCTAGAAAACGGTCCAGACAACAGAGAGGAGAGGAATACCCTTCCAGACAACGATTCGAAGCAGAAGACTAATTTAGCTGTTGCCTGGAGGAGCCTGTCTCTCTTCATTGACAAGAGGCTGCCAAGCAAGACTGCCACTAGGTTTGAGTTAGCTTTTGTGAATGTTACTTCTTAGGCGATGGCAGCTTCAACCTGGCATTTAACACCACGAAGGTGTTTGATTCCATCATGGTAGCGTATGGACCTGTTTCCTCTCCCCTGCAAACTGTGTCAATCGGGAATAAATGAGAAAGAAAAGTGCCATGTCAGTAACTAATCTTGTTTGTTATGAAAGGTGGCAGTAACATAGCTGGATCTCAACATGCAGATCTGATGAGGATAGGGGAGTAACAAGTTGTTCTCACACATATAGCTCACTCTAGCTGTGAGGACCCTACTTAATGCAGTTTCAAGAAGGCACAACAGATGTACTTTTTTATTTTACAGTGTTCTCCTGACAGGTAAGTAGCATTAAAAAAAAAAGCTGTAACAGTGTTAAAATCATAGCTCTGACATTGGATAATGCAATAGAAAAAAATGTATTTGCTTTTAACTTCATATTCATAAATATAGGAAGTGTCTACTGACATTCTTATTTAATTCTGAAAATCCCTGGCAGTTTAGGAAGTTTCTTTTTCATATAATCACTCCAGTCATCATGAAATGCAGCTTTTTCCCAAGACTTTGCAGTTTAATTGCATATGGCATAACTGTTTAATTATGTAGGAAAAGACAATAGAATAAGCTGCTGTAAAGAAATTTTTTTAAAAGGTTAGGGGACATTATTATGGCTGAGTGGATTGGTCATCTTCTCAATGTTGTCTAGGCTTAAGCCCATAAATATAATCTATCCCTCCACTCTCCTTGATAGCTACATTCTTGTGAGCCCAAGAGACAGAAATTCGTACCAAAAAACCAATGGAGAGCAAGGTCATCATCTCCAAAATAATCTTTTGCCAGTTGCAAACAATAATGAAAAGGTGGTTCAGGGTGGACATGTGTCTGTGATTTGCACATGTGTGCATCTGTAGCAAAGGCAAAAAAAAAAAAAAAAAGTAAGATAACTAAGCTGCCATTGCTATTGGTGGCTGGAATACTAAAATCAACTTTTCTGCATTAAATGTGATGGCTTACTGCAAGATTTTTAGTTCTGATGCTCAGAGTAAAATCTTAGTAAGTTCAAAGTCTGAAGGTCTGCCCTTAGGTTCACTGACACAAATACGTTAACTGCATGCCAGAATATGAAGTTCAACAGAGTTTCAGAAAACATCACTAGGAATACCTGAGAACAAGCCCTGTCTTCAGTAATACTTCCCTACAGTCACTGTAATTCCAGGAAATGTTTCTTTTGAATAATTTTTAAGAGACTAAGTAACCCTGTGCTAATGCTGTGCAGAAATAATTACTACATTGGAAAAAAAGTCCTTGATATTAATATATTATAAAGTAAATTATACTTTATCTTATACTGACTTGAGTATAAAGATGCATGCTAAGAAGCTTAGCTTCCCTTTTTTCAGTACTATTAGATGGTCACAGGAGCACTACATCAGAAGTTTTCAACAGTTGTACATAAATACATTGTATTCTGCCTACTATGCATGTAAATAGCTTCTAGAAGTCCACAAATCTATTCTCATGGATAAGGTATGAGAGACATCTCACTGAATTTTTTAGACATGCAAACAAGATGAAATAATCAACACAGAATTACTTAGTTGTGTAATATAATTGATTGTGTTATGCCACTAGAAAAATTAAAATCCCTTGGCAGCTAATTTTTTTCCCATGCTCCATCCTGTACCATCTCATCCCATCAGTTTAAGTACTACTTAAATGGAGAAAAATGACTTGCAGGAAGTACTGTGGCATGCTTTAGGGGAATGAAAGAGAGCACATGGTTGTGAAAAGATAGCCAGGGTAGGGAGAGGGATGAAGGAAGGGGCTGTGCTCAAAAAACTCTTCAGAAAGAATCCAAACAGAGAGT